CGTTGGGGAGATGGCTTCTTGAGGCTTAGTCAGTGGAAAAGAGTTGAAACCCCAAAAAGGAGCTGCCGGACGTTCATGGGTTTACGGGAATCTAGGATGTCGGATCTGCTTAGTTTGCTTCGGGGGCTTCTGGTCTTTCTTTGCCGGGGCCTGCCCTAAGCACGACCATGACGTAGGGCGCATTCCTTGATTAGGGCTATTCCAAGGGGTCGACGTGTCTCGTGAGGCAATAGCACCAGAACCAGTACTACATCTAGGAATCTCGAACTTTTCGTCGTTCTTACAAGTCATCAAGGAAGCACTCAAGGCGAAAATGGAGCATCAGGCAATCGATTGACCGCTCATCGAGCCGAAACGACCCTCTGAAACCTCTGCAAACCCACCAGTTGTCCGAGGTCAAAGCTAAAAGAGCCTTCAATATCCTTCAATCGTTCAGCACCATGATAAACAAAGGGGGTCAGGATTGAAGTCATGTTACTGTTTACTTGTGAGGTAACCTGCAAAAAGGCAAACGCACCTTCGATTCTAGGAACAGAAAGAGAAACAGCTCGAAACGACAAAAAGTCTGAAGAACAAGGAAAACTAATCACCCTATTCCTACACGTATACGATCAACATTTACAGGACTACCAAGAGTGCAACAGTCGCGATAGTTAATACCGTAGAAAATCTACGAAGTATAATGAAGAAGCAATCATAAATCATACCATAAGAAAGAGAATGCGAATGCTCATAACAGAAACAGGAAGTTTATCACCCTAAACTCTAAACCTCAAATACTAACCCCGATACCCAAGAACTATTCTGTTATCATGTTTAAAAAAAACCCCGTAAATCCTGAACCTGTAGACCAGCCCTGAACCCCTGAAACACCCAACCCAACCCGAAAAAGGCCTCTTGTCCTTGCAGGCCGCGGACCCTTTGTCATCCTAAACCATAAGACTACAACTAATAATCATAAAGATATCCTAAACCCCTTTACCCCCAAAAAAGCTCTGCTCTTTTATCATCTTTCAAAAAAGTAAACTCTAAACCCTAAGCCCCAAACCCCTGAAAAAAAAAAAAAAAAAAAAAAAAAAAAAAAAAAACTGCAAAGCTCTAAACTCCGGTATAACTCTTAAGAACACCTGTAGAACCCGCCTTCAAGAAGCCCTAAACCCCTAATCCCTAATCCCGAGACCTCCAAACCTCAACCCTAAACTCCCTAGACCCCCAAACCCCGAAAACCCTAAACCACAAAACCCCCAAGATCACTTAAAGGCACCCTAACCCTAAACGCCCCCAAATGTTTGCCTTCCCAGGTGCGGGGTTACTACATAGATCCTTTCAAAGGAGAGACCCCTGAAACCTGAAACCCTTAGAACCCTTGAAACCCTAAACTTTCCCAAAACCTTATAGATCCCTTAAAGCCTTAAAGCATCCCATGAAGGCCCCCCCAAATGTCTGCCGTCCCAGGTGCAACCCCTACAGATCCCTTCAAGGAACCCTGAGCCCCAAACTCCCTAAAACCCCCACAGGTCCCTAAACCCGAAACCCCATACCCTGAACCCTAAAGATCCTCTTCAAGGAGCCCTTAAAGGAACCCCAAAAATCCCCCAACACCCTTTTAAGTCTCGGAAACCCTAAACCCTAAACCCTTTATAGAACCCTTTTTTGATGCCTTGCAGGAACCCTTAAAGGATCACTTTAAAGGAACCCAAATAAACACTAAACCTGCAGGAACCCTTAAAGGATCACTTTAAAGGAACCCCCCTCCCCTTTCTGCCGTTCCCAGGTGCGGGCCGCCCCGTCCTCGGCCCCTGCGGCCCAAGGCAGGGCCGACGTCGGCCTCGGGGGCCGCGAAGTCCTCCTCCTCGGGGCCCCAAAGGGCTTGTTTTTAGGGGTTCATTAAAGGGATGTAGGGGTTTTAGGGTTCCTTTTTCGGGATTCCTTAAAAAGATCTAGTAGAGGTTTTAGGGTCTAGGGTTCTTTTTAAAGGTTCCTTAAAGGGATCTAGTAGGGGTTCCTTTTAGGGATTCCTTAAAAGGATCTAGTAGGGGGTTTAGGGTTTAGGGTTCCTTTTAGGGGTTCCTTAAAGGGATCTATTAGGGGTTTGGGGTTTAGGGTTAAGCTTAAGGTTTAGGGTTTTTTTGGATTTAGGGTTCCTGAAAGGGTACTATAAGGGTTCTATTAGGCTTCTGTACGGGTACTAGAAAGCGCTAGGGCTGCAGGAGTTGAGGAAAGAATTAGGGATGAGGGGGTTGGGGGGTTTAGGGTTTTTGGGGTTTGGGGTGTGTTAAGGTTTAAGGTTTTCGGGTTTAGGGCTTAGGGTTTGGGGGTTTAGGGCTTTTAGGGCTTTCAGTTTGAGGGTTCAGGGTTTTGGGGTTTGGGGGCTTACACAACGAAAAAGGACAAACAAGGAAACAGGGGGGTCTCTGGAGGGGCCTTCGGGGTTGAAGGTGTCGTGATTCAGGGGTTTAGGGTGTGGGGCTAGGTGGCTTTGGGGTTAGGGTCGTTTATACATTAATTCCAAGCTGACGTTTGGGAACGAGGGATTGGGCCTTCTTGGTTGGGTTGTGAACACGGTTTCCGCGCAGTCTCTTCGGAGACCCAGCTCTCGCTTCACTGGTGCTCTTCTTTGGCTTCACTACGTGGTATAGTGCGAGCCGTCGACAACACACGTGAACACGGTTTCAAGATCACCCCTTTGGGGCCTGCAGGGACTAGGGGTGGAGATTCTCACTTCGGGTGTGGGCTGCTCGGAGACCCCATGCACTTCAAGTAAGGAAGGGGGATGTAGCAGGAGGAAGATACGTAAGAGCTTCGATTACTGCCGCGCTCAAGTCGTCTAGGCGAAGCAGAAATTTTATGCATGGGGGAGCCCTGAACCCGAACGCCCTGAACCCAAATCAGGTTGATATAGGGTATAAGTATGGTTTGTAGGCTTAGAGCCCGTCCTCAATCAACTCCATTGCCACGGCTACGCTTTGATTTGTGTAGCGCTGGTCAAATCTTGAGCCAAGAACAACGAAGGTGTTGAGTTAAGGATGACACAAGGCTTCAGGACTTCAGGGTTCAGGGATTAGCGCTTAGGGTCTACCGTTTGCAGTTTTAGGGTTATTGCTTAGGGCTTCGGGGTTCAGGGTGGAAGGGTTTCCCCACCGTACAAAACCACCCCTTTTCGATTCAATTCGCAACTTCCGCCCCTTAACTCTCGAGCTTAGGGTTCAGGGTTTAGGGTATGAACTTGAAGCCCTAAGCACGAATCCTCGAGATTTCTTGACTGCTCTAAAACCCCAAATGCTTAACCTCAACCCGAAAACCATAACGTCTAAACCCTGAACCCCAACACTAACCCAAAAAGTCTTCACTTGAAGTTAGTGGCCACCTTCGGCATCGGTAGGCCAGTTGCTGACGGGGTTTAGGGGCACGGGTCTGGAGTGTCAGTGGCTTTGGGTTAATTGAGTAGAAAACCCGTACTCCCCCAAACCTCAATAGCTGCCACCCACTACGAGGTTAAGACTCCCGCCTCCCAAGCCATGCCTGACCCTAAGCCCTAAAGCCTAAAGTTCCAGTCCGGTCCCACATCTTGCAAAGCGAAAGAGCGATGAAAGCCGAGACGTCTGTGGTGTGCCCCAAGTTCCCTCAGAAGCAATCACACTGCATCAGACCTTGCGTATATAAGGACAAGGCGAGGTCCACTAGGCTTCTAGCTCTAAGCGTTCTTCTCAGGGAGTTTGATAGCGTCTTACGTGATTCCCGCCCCAGTAGACTCAGAAGCATCGCCGGGTAACCCTAGAGCCATCGCCTTAGGGCGTCGGGCCCAAACTCCCCCAAAACCCTAAACCCCTAAACGGAGCCCAAACCCTGACGCATAAACCGTCTAAACCCTAAATCCTTCGAACCCTTAGGGTCTGAGCTCTTTGGATATTTGTTTTCAGGGTGTGGATTTTGAAAGCATACTTCCGCAAAACATAGCTTTCGAACCTCGCCGCTGTCGGGCGCTGTAAGGCAATGTGAAAGTCTTGCATCGCTACAGCCCTAAAGGCGGCGATCCGAGTGTGCGCTCCAGAAGCGTGCCCCTGCAAAGATAGAGAATGTTGTCCTTTTTCGACGGGCAACGCAGCTATGCGGCGAACGACATCAGCCCTGCAGTTGCCCAAACGTCTCGGCCGTAGTTCTTAATGGTGTGAGAAAGTAGGCATGCATGCATGTAGCAGCGTAGCATGCATACATGCATTCATGCATGCTTGCTATGTGTGCCAGCATGGTTCGGCACAGTCTGCGGAAGGGCTCAAAAGGCCAAAACAATTTGAACCAACGCCTCGAAGTTCTCTGAGATGCTAAGGATCCACCAGTCTCAAACCGGGTGGGGTGGATAGTTTAGGCACTTGCAGCCGCAATGAGCATCTAGAATTGCAGGGTCTAAAGTTTATCGTTGCGTCGCCCGACCCTCTTCCTTCCTGAGTCCTTGCTGTAGCGGTGCAAAGGTCTCTCATCGGCGTGGAACTTCAGAAGTCTTTCAGTCCTGGCTGCAGGCATCTGTTTAGGGTTTAGGGCTACCTGTGTGGGTGTGGCCCGGACTTTCTGGATCTCAGACTTCATAACCTGTTGAAATCATCGGTCATTTACCGAGTCGCCAGTTTGGACCCCTACTCTTCACAACGGTGCACGACACTTCCAGCAGCAAGCGCGCGCATTTCAACAACGACTCGGATTCTGCCGGGAAGGTTCGCGGACCGGTCACCGGTCTGGGAACCAAATCAAGGCTGGATTGGCAGTGACCCCCTTGAGGAAGCCTACGACCTTACGAATTATTGATGCATGGATTCTCAGCAACTTTGGCACACAAGAATCTACAGCAGCACTCCTAAGCAGCTAAGCTTATCTTTGGCCGTGCCCGTATCAACGACCTGCACAAGTAGTCTCGTCCAGATGTCCCTTCGGGAAGCGCGGAGAAATTGCTAGACTGATACGTTGCCATCCTTTGAAAACGCACAAGCGGCAAACCTGCGCGGTCTTCAACCCTCGGACTTTAGGCCGCGCGCCTCGTCCCGGGGCTGGGCCTCATCGTCTGACATCAAATAGCAGTGGTGGAGATCCTGCTTCTCCAAGTGAAAGTGCAGGCGTTCTACTCCGGGGTGCTTGACTCTGAGCTTTCCATAGATCAAACTGCCTTCATGTAACATCCACAAGAAGAATGCACCGACCACGAAGCTGAGACCGATTTGGAAAGTCCTGGTCTCCATCAGGTACCAGCCTTGGAGGACCATGGCCGCAATGTACGCCAGGACCCCACCACCCATGGCAGTCACCGGGATCCAGTTCGTAAAGGACACCGCGGCCTGGAACTCGTCAGCATACGACTTGATACGGTGGAAAGCGATTAGGCGGGCCACGGAAGTCATGATCGCCAAGACATTGCCTGGAAGGGGTTCTGCGGCACAGAGCGCGCAAGTCCCTCTTTGAATTCGCACTGAATGCAAGAAGCCCATAAGAGTACGTGTTACCACAAGGTTTGGGGAACAAACGACGCAAAAGCTTGTGAGAGCTCTGCCGAGTCGCATGTAAGGCTGAAGGAGATGAGGAGCTGGTACAACTCGAACTTGGGATAACAATCGGACCCTTCGTGGTACCATCCTTGCTCGCAAGGGTCCCCATAGTTCTTCAAATCATACGAGTCCGAGAGGCTTGTGGACAGGACAGACAACATAAGGGCCGAAACAAGGCCCACAGTCGAGTTGATATTGAACTCATCCTCAACGATCTGATCTTCTGTGGCTTTCCGGGCCAACAAGGTCTCAGACGTCTCGGACTCGCACCCAGGGTCTGTCATCGTCAAGCCGTGCTGGCACTGAGCTTCTCGGCTACAGCCCTCGGGCCCTAAGTCAGGCCCCAAGCCAGGCGGGAGGTTTTTTGTGCTAACCCTCCGGGCCTCAGACTACCCGGGAAAGCTCAAGAATTCGGAGCTGAGCCGGGAGTTGAGGTCACCTTCGGACCTTTTCTCCACAAAAAACCGTCGGCTGTAGTGATGAGGGGAGAGCGACGGTCACTGGACGTTGTGGTGGTAGAAGTTATGCAAGTGATCTAAGTGCTTCGAGGTTGGAGGGCTGCACACTGGATGAAGATTTTCAGGTACGGGAAAGCTTTGGACGTCTGCTCACCCTGCATTACTGCTGTTGCTTCGGCCGGTGCCCTGCCTCCAGAATCCTTCTAGCTGCTAGACTCACAGTTTTGTGGCCTCAAGACCTGTCGTTCCCTCCAAAAGAAATGCGGTCTCAGTTTAGTGTAGAGGCAGTGGGATAGGGTTTAAGGATCCACCCCACAGACCTCGCGCTGCTCGTCGAGGAGGCATCACTTCGGTTACACCTGGCTTCAACACGGTGGGTTTGGCAAACTTCCTTGGCTAAATGGTCAAGCTTGGCTTCATGATGTACGTGTTCGGCTGGGTTGATACCCCGTCAGGAACTTTGAGTATCTTATGAACATATGTCAACCCAAAGTTTCTAGAGGAACAGGAAAGCATCCGCCCCATAATGACCGAACGTATTCAAAACCCCGTGAACCTGTACCCACGAACCTTAACACCTCGAACTTCTTGAACCTTGCCAACCTTCCCTGCAAACCGCACCCTGAGCAATCGCCCCGAAATGTCTGACGCCCTGCGTACTCAACAGGATTCAAACTTACGTAAGGACTATAGGGTGGATCCTGGAGAACGACCTTCAACAAGACGTATGGGGATGTAATAGGAATGCTACACAGCGAAAGTCGCAACTGAGCTGGCCTTCTGATATCCTCACAAACGACCGCCGAAGCACTGTCCGAAATCCTTGCTTGCAATGATCCAAGACGCGCTATGAGCGCCCTGAACAAGCCCGCATGCCCATGCCGCACAGCGCCAAGCGATAGCAACCCTCAAACCGTGCAGAGTCCTGTGATCTCAAGCCCATTGGGCCAAAGCTTGAACAAAGTCCGAGGACTTGCAGCCCCTAATCTCAGACCCCCTCACATGATTGAACATTGCACAAATAATGAGAGAGAGAGTGTGTGTGTGTGTGTGTGTGTGTGTGTGTGTGTGTGTGTGTGTGTGTGTGTGTGTGTGTGTGTGTGTGTGTGTGTGTGTGTGTGTGTGTGTGTGTGTGTGTGTGTGTGTGTGTGTGTGTGTGTGTGTGTGTGTGTGTGTGTGTGTGTGTGTGTGTGTGTGTGTGTGTGTGTGTGTGTGTGTGTGTGTGTGTGTGTGTGTGTGTGTGTGTGTGTGTGTGTGTGTGTGTGTGTGTGTGTGTGTGTGTGTGTGTGTGTGTGTGTGTGTGTGTGTGTGTGTGTGTGTGTGTGTGTGTGGTGTGTGTGTGTGTGTGTGTGTGTGTGTGTGTGTGTGTGTGTGTGTGTGTGTGTGTGTGTGTGTGGTGTGGTGTGTGTGTGTGGGCCTCTGTGTGTGTGGGTGTGTGTGTGTGTGGTGGTGTGGTGTG